TTCTAGATTTGTGTTGGATGTTATCTTTGGAATGGAAATATGGATGTTTTATTTGTAAACATCATGCTTTTTTCACTTATTTCAGGTAATGTCATAAAACTAGCAAGCTGAGCAGAAAAATCAGATCAAAAGAGCCATTCACTTTCGAATTTCGATTACGATTTTATATCATAACGATTTCAGATCGGGACTTCGGAGTGTGCATCGCAATTTTTTTTTCTGATTTATTTATTTTTATTATTAAACAGTACAAAACATCAAACCATTAAAGCAGCACATTTATAGAAAGAATAAGCTACACAAATACAAAACAAATTTTGTTGGTTGAATGGTTAAACTATTGTTAGTGTGGCAGAACCATGGTTAATTTGTGGTTACCTTGGTTTAACTGTATGTTTTTGTTCACACACAAGATGAGCACAGAGATGCAGTTTTCACTGCTTTAGGATGAACAGAACTCTGGATAATTTCCAAATACTCGTCTAGATCAACTCTGGATAAAGAAAAGAGAGATTTAGTTTATGTGAACTTTAGCCAGCAGGAAACAAATAAAGTTATATTCTCTTTCGCATAGTCAAACAATCCAAAGAAAACATCTTTAAAACAGAAAGCACTTATAAAATGAGATCAGATGAACATTTAAAAAAATCTGATCAAAATGTCTCGAGTGAATGAATCTTCCTCCGAAGAGACAAAAACAGCAACTCACTTCAGTGTCTGGCTTATATTATAATTACATCCATGAGCTTTCTGTGAAATTTGGATGAACTCATGAATCTGTTGTTTGAGCTCTTCATATTTAAGGAGAGAACTATAGTTTCTAAAGTTGGACATCGTTTGTTATGCTGTTCAAGAGTGTAGAGTTTAGTAGAGACGCTCTGACATGATCCTACCGAAATCAGCCACTGCTGAATTATCTCTAGCAATAATTTTGCTCAAACAATGAAACTGTTGTCTGCCGTTATGTCCCCAGCAATGCCAAAATCAAACCTATACAGCCTTGGATGAATCTGTCTCACACTAAATTCCGTGTCTCACTTCTGAGTCAGAATTACTCATGTTCATGATACACTGTATGTTATATAATGTCTGGAACACAAGTATAATGTTAGCTGTTGTGCACTGGTGAAGCTGGAAAACTGTCCCCAGACTCGCGTCCATTAAGATGCAACAAAGTGCACATGAATCAGTAAATCTGATGTGTTCAATGCTTCTCACTCTTGCTCCAGTGTTTTTGAGCACACAGCTCCTAATCTCTCCACTCTGTCTAATCCAGGCCTGACCTCAATCCAGTGATGTACTGGGTCATGTGACCCTGCCGGCCACCAATCAGAGACCTCGCAGCATGATCACATGCAAGGTTCAGACAAAACCTCAGACTGAAAACATGATTCAGAAAGTAAAACATGGACGATTACACACATGTGA